AAATTTTAAAGTGCAAAGATTGAGTTTTTTTTTTTTTTAATAAGTTTGTAATAAAATGAGAAAAATTATTTGTCTAGTCTTCGAGTGAGTTATATCGGTCAAAGCACTATACTCACAATTTAATTCGCAGCGCGAATTATCGACAGGACACTCGAGAATTCCCGAACGCGTCGCAGCAATTTAAGATCGTCGCCGAATTTCATGAACCAAGCGCTGCCGGGACTGAAGAGACTGCGGATGAAATTTTTTGAGCACCGGAGCGGAAAGAAGCATCTTCGACGTTTCGAAGTGGTAAATAATGGAGGGTGACGGACGGGAGTGTTGCTGCAGGCTGTTGCGACGAGGATAGGTAGGGGAGTGAGGAGGGGTGTGGGGGCAGCAACGGGATGCAGCGGGTGGTGAAACGACAGTGGAGAAAAGGATCGAAAATTGCACGGTAAACTCGTGCCACGATTTCCACCTCGGCGCGGTAAATTGAGAATAAACAGGCGTAGACGAGGCCGATGGAGTATTTCACGTCTGCGAGATTCACGAAGGAATCCGGCGAAAACCAGTGTTTGGTTTCACTCTCTTGCGAATGATCGATGCGAGAGAGAATACTTTTCTCGCGCCAATAATGGTACTGTGAAGCCTTTTTCATTTTCAAAGCGAATTAAATTATAAGTTGATTAAATTGATAACTTGATTAATATAATATGACAAGCCAGAGAGTTTTGCTGAACTGAATCGTTGTTTACTAACAAATACAACAAATAAACGTATAATATTATTCATAATATATCACTTTTTATATTCTATCAAAAATTTACATCTCTGTAAGAAAATTACCGCACAGTAAAATGCTCTTCCAACGCCAAATATTTTCCTTTATCAAGATGCAAAGTAATCGCGATAGGATGTCCCTTCCTTCAGACCAGGTACCAAAGAAATCTTGCGTTTACGTATTTACAAACTGTTTTCTTTCCAACCGTACGTATTACCTGCCGCTATCTTGTTCTTTCCTTCCGGTGCAGCAATATCGCGAGGTGGAAACGTATATATGTTTCGGATTGCACGTGTTGCGTCCACGTCTTCTCTTACTCCGGTCCGGTATTGCGCTGTCGGCAAAGTCTGCGTCCTCTCATCCATCACCAAGCTAAGGTCGCCCGCTGCCAGCAGCTAGGAAAGGACGAGAAAGGCCTGCAGGGCCGACGGGAGCTTCCTCCGATATCTCGACACGACGTTACGATTTGTCTGTGAATCGTGTTCCGTCATCCTGAAACAAAACTCCCGTCGTCTCCAGCCAAGCGTTTCGAGAAAAGTCGCTGCAACTCGCCACCCGAGTAATTTCGATATTTTTCTGTAGCACATCAATCGTTCGATGATCTCTCGACAAATTATCGGGGGGATACTTAGTGTGTCACTTTCATTACTAAATATTTATTGTATTATCAATCTTTGAGGTCAAGAAGACAATTTAAAATATTCTTCATTATTTATACAATAGATATACATACATGAAAATTGAGTCATTTTACTTTTTGTTAAATTACGTTGTCGACAAGGAAAATCTGAATATATAGATCGTAAAAAATTATAATAAAACGAAGCAAAAAGAACATCTCGTGACGTTTATACGCTTATCGCGATACAATTCCGGAAAGGCGGAGAGGCTTGCTTTATCGCTTGAGAGAGAACTGCAAAGGGCGGTTATTATTAATTGCTCCCAGGGGATTTTACAACTGGGCAGTTAAAGCCACGATCTTTTTACGAGCATCGAACGGGCCGGGTTTCCCTCCCTTTTCCGCGGTACCGACGCGACACTCTCGTCCGCTCTCTTCCCGGACACTCGACCGGAAACTTCATTTACATCGGCAGCATCTATAAAATGGATTAATTGCAGCTGGCCGTCCGACGAGTGCTGGCATGCGCAGCCGACGAACGTTCGACAGATGGAATTTATCCGCGAGCGAGTCCTCGAACGATCAGCGCGACACTCGACAAATGATTTTAAAATTCCTCACTTATATACTTTTTATCATTATCAATGTAAGACTCAGAATAGATATTACTTTACAAGCATTTTATTTGACGACTCTACAAAAATAAATAGCATCGCAATTGAAATATTTTAGAGATTATCGTAAATTATACAATCTTAATTGTTTCACGGTTCTTAAAAATAATATGTCTTCTCAAAGATATTTTCATGAAATACGAAATCAGTATCATTCAAGAGATATCATTTAAAAAATGCACGGTTTTTCTCGTTTCTTCGTACACAGCAGGGAGAATATAAAATTAATTTTTCAATATTTCTTTACAATTGTAATCAAATTAGTTTATGAGCCAGAGAGAATATTTTGACGAAATTTCAAATAATTTAAACCGCACATTAATTTACGGAATTTTACATTCTTTTACAAAAGTAATTTAACATGAAACATAGATTTTAATATTAACTTAAATTATACCAACGATAATTTACAATACAAAATTAATAATTTGTTATGCAAACTTTTAAATTTCCTCAATTATTTTGTAATGTTAATATATAACTAATTGTAAGAGAGAAAGATATATGTATATATATTATTGATTTACTAAATAAAATAAAATTTGCTACTGCAGGAAATAATAAAATGAGGGAAACACCATTATCGGATGAATCAATAAGTTTTAAATGAAAATGCGCAGGAAAATTGAAATACAAAAGTTGTAGATCATTTAACGAATTAACAATTATAATCCTTGATTAGAATTCCCATCATTAGCATAAGCTTGCGTCAGTGGAGCCGAAAAGTTTCCGGCGTTTGTTCACCAGTGCCAAAATAACCAGGAGGCAAGCAGTAATTTTATGCGATCGCGCCGGGAGATTATGAGGGAAAAGTAGCCAACAAAGTATTTGAAGAGTGTTAAGTTAGGAAACCTTACTATCTTGTAAAGATAAATGGCAAAAGAATTTCAATTCTTATATTTCTTTTTGTAATTATAATCACGCAAACTTAATTTGAAATTAAGTATTGAAAAATTTGCTTAACAATTTTTCTCAACTATTTATGTATGTAAATATAGTATTTAAATAAACAATGCAATTTACAATTTACACTATTTTACACTAACTTATATCAATTTATATACAGACTTAAAAATTATCTGTTATAAAAGAAACTATTAATAATATTATTGATGAATAGTAATGTAAAAAAATTATATGCAGAAACCATACGCTGGTTTGCAAGTACACGTTTCATGTTTAAGTACACTATAAATACAAACATTTGCAAGATATAAAATAGTATCTAAATATTTTTTAATAAATATTGCGTAAATATTGAATATCACAAAAAATACATTTGTTGAATCTTTTCTGTCATCTTTTTTTTGGAATGCTATAAAAATATCTTTACCATCAATTTAAGATAAACCTAGATAAACAAATATTGGCAATGTTGGTTTAATCAAATTTGAATTCCGTTTTTGTGTACACTTTACTCCTGCAAAAGGATTTACAATTCTATGCAACCAATAAAAAGATATTCTTGTTCGAAAAAATATAATGTCCGGCCGGTAACTCCAGCATCCCCTTAAGATAACGTTCCCAGACAGAATATTGATTTTTCTTGATGGTAATAATACTGCTGATGATATTCTACCGACTAGAGATACGCTAAAGATGAATAGCTGCCGACTACAAATACGCTAAAATCAATTGCCAAACACGGTAAATGTTGAAAATTTACGATAACGTATTTATTTTATTTTTTCTACATGCAATATTGATGATAACATTTTTACTATTCCGTTCTATACTGATGATAACGTATCCATTTATTCCTTTCCGTACACGATAAGATATTAAGGGGATGCTGGAGTTACCGGCCGGACATTATATTTTTTCGAACAAGAATATCTTTTTATTGGTTGCATAGAATTGTAAATCCTTTTGCAGGAGTAAAGTGTACACAAAAACGGAATTCGGGCTGCTCGACTTTATTTGGAAAAAAAAGAATTAATAACAAAATTTGTTTCTATTCATTAATTTCTGTTCTGCTCTTAGGATAACATATTGTATAGAGCTATCTATTTTCGTTTTTTATAAAAGTTTAACAGTTTTAAGACGCTGAATAAGAGCAGCCCGAATTGCGGACTGCAGAATAGAATGTTATGGAACCATTAAAATTGGGCTGAAAAGTCTAATTTAAAAAATATTCTTGTCCGACTATTTTTACATACGTGTGCGTCCAATATCGGTATAACAGATGAAAAATAACAGAAGATTAGTTCCAAGATAATATCAGAAAGGCGCTATACAATAATATGCGAATATATACACGCACCACACATACGCATACACAATACATTCATACTTAGATTATGACTTATGCCGATAATATCACTCTAATTTTTAGTTCCATCGAAATGATGGCGCTTTCGCGTCGGAGTTCGTCAGGCACTCCAGCATCCTCTTAATTAAAACAATGAGTCATGTTTGTAAAACACTGACAGAAGATGTCGTTATTTGTACATATTTTGAACTGTATTCTATAAAAGTAAATAAATAATTTGTTTTATACTCTCTAGAGTTCATAAATATATCATACACTTTAAGATAAAAGTAAAAAGTTGTACAAATAAAATTTTTATAAAATATTTAAATTTATCATAAAATATCACAAAATTTTCATGCTTTTCTCATATTAGACAGTAAAATATAAAAATAATTATACACATATAAACAAAACAAATTAGTATACAAGCAAAGAAAATAATATAAATCTTTCAGTTAATTAAAACTAGTTCTTATAATAATAAAATTAATATTTAAAATATTAAATGTAAATAAATATATATCTGCATCTTTTTGTGTCATTTTATTTTAAAAATATATTTCATAAATAAATTATAAAAATTTAACGCAATACAATCAATATTAGGAATAAATAAACAATCAAACGCAATTATAAAGACTTGTTTATTTAATTATACTTAATTTATACTGCACATCAGTTCAGTAATAAACATTTATACAAATTAACATTTAATTATAATGCACGAGAAAAACATTAATAATTTAGAATTATTAGACCTATGTCTTCTTATCTCAGAAAATTCAGTCTTTTATACAAATATAGGATAGGTGACTTTATCTTCATACGATTGATTATTATAGTATTTTAATAAACAATGGAATTGATTCTGTTTCTGTTAACTTTTTTTTTAAGACTTCTTTCTTCCATCATTTTTTCATTCGTAAATATTTTAAACTTTTTAAATACATTTTGTAGGTTTATATAAACTTGGTTTTTGCAACACATATTTGAATGAATAGAATTTTGCACGGCAATTTTATTCCTAAGATTTTCGAGTTGAGGTTGGATTTTCTGGTATGCTTCTTCAGCATGCAAGCGGCAATTTTTTTCTCTTGTCAGAAAATCAGTGGTGTTTTCCAATTCTGTTATTAATTCCTGATTATGTTCTATCATAAATGACAAGCATTTCTTCAATTCGTCCGCATTTGTCCATTTAATGTAATTCTTTTTTATTATATGTGATTGGCAGTTTCCATTACTTTTTTCTTTCGTTTTCTTCATATGCATAGGTTGATGTATTTGTGAAGAATAATCGTGTTGCGTTTTCGATTGAAAATACTAAAACAAGAAAATATTACAAATTATGTATATTAAATATTATATATTTATTATAAATATAATTATATATAATTCTTTTAATCATCAATCAATACATATTTTTCATTTGAAATTACTTACAGTTTGATTGTTTGAAGATATGTTCTCCTTTGATGTACGTTGAAGAGAAGAATTCTTAGTAATCATATCTTGCATAAAAGCATATTTATGGCTTAACAATCTTTTCTTCGTTAGTATTATTTTCCTTTTGCTTTTTTTTCTCTTCAGAATGTTACAAATAGTTCGCAACATGTCGACCGGCAGCTCATTATCCCTAAGATCAATCTGTGCAAGCACGCTATTTGTTTGCAAAAACTCCAGCACAATCTCTGCTCCGTGCTGCGTGATCCCACAACATCGCAGATGCAATTTCTTCAACCAAAAATCATTTTTCAATGTACGCATCAATTGTCGTAAGCCGACATCACCAAATTTATCATTTCTATCCAGTATTAATACTTGCAGACCTCCCTCCTAAAATATAAATACAATGTGTAAAAAAATTTTCAAAAAACGATCTAACGCTTTTGAAAGTATAAACTTTTAGCTTTAAAATGCTTTCTCAATTTTTTATTTACAGTGATTTTTCGTCGAATCTTAGTAGTTCAAAAATTGCTCGATTTTGAGCATTTTGAAAAGTGTTCCGTATTTTTTATAAAATAGTATATATTATTTTCTCTTTTTGATACGTACCGTTGTTGTGCTAATATTTTCTCGAGATAATGTTGATTCTTTCCAAACATGTTGCAGCAAATCCGCTTTCCTCTTTTTGAAGAATAGTGATAGATATGCGGCACTTCTATTAGTAAGACAACATGCCGACAGATTTAGAATATGAAGGCTTGAATTATACTGCAAATTTTCTAACAATATATCGCATCCTGTAAAATAAAGCACAAACATATAAATATGTTATCATGTTAATTTCTTTAAAATTACTTAAAATCTATGTCAAGATATCTCATGGTTTCTAAAACTCATAAATGTACATAATAGTGAATTCGTATTGACTATTATTATTTCTTGACTGTATGAATAAAAAAGAAAAAAAGTTAAACAATATTGGTAACCAACCTGCATCACTTATTCGACATCTGGCTAACGACAAGCTTCGTAAATTTCGATTGCTTATCAAGCCATCACTGAGAATCTTTAGACACTTGGGCGCCAAAGGAATACCGTCGAGTATAAGATTGGTGATCATCAATGAATTCCTCAGACAGACAGCAATGGAATGGACAAAGTATGGCAGTAGAAAATTCATGTACAAGCTTGGCTGCTGTTGATCTCTTCGCGCGCATCTCCTGAATGTGCAAGTAGAATGCCAGTCCATTTGCCATTTTTGCAATTTAAGAATATACGTATTGGCATTGTTATATTTCTTAACATTCCATTGACCATTCCTTAGTCGCGATGTCACCTGTAAACTTAAACTTACTAAGAGTAGTATCCGTAAAAAAATTTATTTTATATATATATATATATATATATATATATATATATATATATATATATTACTTACTTACT